GGCTTGCATGAGTGATCCATTGCTAGAGCAGTTGGCACAAATGAACTCACGCACACACGCATGAACGCACAGACTCACTCACGCACAGTCAAGTTTGTCTATCCGTCCCGGGATTCTTGTCCTGCCCGGGTGTGGGGTACGCCTGCCGAAGAAACTGTGACGCTGTCAGGCGTCGGTTAGTCAATCCCACGAGAGTCCTGAGACTTGCTAGGTTAGACCGTCCCGAACGCGTTGCAATGGTGCTCGTGTGCTCGTGTGTGTGTATACAGGTTTGTCTGATTTGACGTCTGACTGCTTGTATGGCTCATCAGTCCATAATGTCACAGGTCTTTTGCTTATATCGTGAACGCACGCACGCACGCACGCATGCAACGCTCACACACAACCACACAGACACCCATCGGTGTACATGGCTGCTAGCGAAAGCACACAGGTTAGTACACGCACATACACACACACACACACACGAGTTGAACAAACCTTACATCTCACAAACACCGGACGCGTGTCAGACGTTGTGCTTGTGGGTGGGGAGCGGGTACGGAATGGGGAATGGGTTGGCGAGCCCAGTAAAAAGGAGGGTAGGCGGGCAAAGAGCTGTTTGTATGGCCATGGCCATGGCAGGCAAGCAAGCAGGCTGGCTGGCTGGCTGGCTGGCTCCGTGTTTGTGTGTGCATTGTGCACTACGAGCAGTCCGATTCAAACCAATGACCAACGAGCTTGGTGTGCGGGCTAGCAGGGAATTTGGCCACTGCACAGGAATTTCCAATCTGCATGACAAACAAATACGCACGTGGCTTCAGGTAACACCGAGCACTGATGATGTTAATGACGACGACGACGACGACGACTATGTGGACCATGATTCAGTGACAATTTTGAACTCCCACACTCAGCATGATTCAGCTGCGATTGTGTTTGTGTTAGTGTAAAAGTACTCTTATTCTCAACAGCCATTGCTGTTTCCATCATGGGACTACATTCCCTACACGTGTTCAGTTTATTTCTTGTCGCCCAGTTAACCAGGCAGACTAACGGTCGTACTGATCCCGGTAACAACGGGTTTCAGAAAGAACTGACATATGCGATCAATGAGGAGTCTGAGGTGGGATCGTTTGTGGGAAATCTCAAGTTGGACGCGGAACGTAAATTTCTTATCCCCTACAATCAATTGACAAGATTTGAACTGTACGACGATACGAGACAGGGTTATTTTCGAGTAGAACAAGACACAGGGAAACTATTTGTTGCTGCCCGAATTGATCGAGAAACAATTTGCCCACAACCGGACGCTTTGATCCCGGAGACAATGCCCACTTATCCCGATGATTTGTGGGCATCTGTACCCACTCAACAGGACAGTGATCAGTCTGAGGGCAGTGTTTGTCAGGTACATTTGGCGTTGCATATTGCTCAACAATACTGGGTGAATGTAATCGTCACAATTCACGATATCAATGATCATAAACCCTACTTTCCCTTGGGGCCATCTGGGCTCGGACTGCCAGTATACACGGTGAACGTCTCGGAATCAGTGACAGCAGGTTATGAAATTCCTCTTGTCGGAGCCAAAGACGCCGATGCTGGAATCAATTCGGTTCAGAGCTATAGTCTTCGTGGTGCGGAGTTGGACCCAGCCTTATTCGCTATCGCTTACAAACCTCCGTTCACACTAAATCTCGTTGTGCTACAGGAGCTGGATGCAGAAACCAAGTCTACATATACAGGCGAATTGATCGCCTGTGATGGGGGTCAGCCACAACCACAATGTGGTGTTCAACCATTTCAAATTATTGTGAATGATTTAAACGACAACAAACCGGTGTTTGCCAAATCTTTGTACGAGGTCGAGGTAGAGGAGACTTTGCCAGTCAATTCCACGGTTATTCGGTTAAATGCGACAGATGCGGATTCCGGTCCGCGTGGGGAAATTCGCTACGTGTTTGGACAACCAATAAGCCAAGCTGTACTTCACCATTTCTTTTTGGATTCGGTTATCGGAGAGTTGACCACACGACGACCATTAAATGCTCGTGAAAACCCCCGCTTCCTCATTCCGGTCCTCGCTAAGGACGGTGGAATCGTACCCCTCATTGGTCAGACCGTGGTACAGATCACCGTGCGAGATGTGAATGATCACGATCCTTGGATCGAAATTCGTGCCGTTCAGTCTGTCGGACAGCAGGGTGCAGGAGATAGACAGGTTGAACAAAATATCACTCTTTTCGTGCCCGAGAATCAACCGATCGGGACCAATATCGGTCTTCTGATTGCTGGAGATGAAGATGTGGGTGAGAACAGTGCTGTGGTTTGTCAGCTCAAATCCAATCAAGATCGATTCTATTTGGAACATGCGAACTCGGCTAAGGGACGTGAAATGTATCGTTTGGGAACAAATCTTTCATTTGATCGTGAATCGCTGCCGAATGGAATAGTCTATGTGGATGTATTGTGTGTCGACGGTGGGAAACCGAAACGATCAACGGAGCGTAAAATTCCGGTTCAAATATTGGATGAAAATGAATTCGCGCCGGCGTTTGATCCTTCGAAAAAGATACAGAATGTGTATTTGGAAGAGGGAAAAGATGTGGGAACTTTTGTCACTCAAGTCCAAGCGACAGATGCAGATGCCACGCCCAAAATACAATATCACTTGTCACGCGAAGCCCAGAACCTATTCCACATAGATGCCGATACCGGAATCATAGTGACTCGGGTGGTGCTGGACCGGGAACAGATGCCTAAAATCCGATTCAGTGTTTTTGCCACGGACCACGATCAAAGTGATCGCCAAGCCGCCCCGGCTGTGGCGAATGTGACGGTGCATTTGGTGGACATAAATGACAATGCGCCTGAACTAACCGGAAATCGAGCTTTCCACATAGTGGAAAATCGCCCCGGGTTTTCCGATCTCGTTGGTCAGTTGACTTCAGTAGACAAAGACGTGGGAAACAACGGCACCGTACGTTATCGTCTTGTTTCAGTGTCCGGAAATGGGAATCCCCTGGTGAACGAGACCTTTATGCTTAATCCTGACTCCGGTAAACTTTTTACATTGCATAGCTTGGATCGGGAAGAATACAGCCAATATGAGCTCACGGTATTGTTGGAAGATCAGGGCACACCATATAAACTAAACAGTACCGAATCTATCACAGTTGAAGTATTGGACGAGAATGATAATGCCCCGGTGTGGGGTGATCCACTACGAATTATGACTACAGTCGAACACCTGCCAACACCAGAGGCACTTCGTAAAAGCTCACGAATGTTGGGATTGAGTAAGCTAAAAGACCTTGGTCTGCTGAATGCCACCACACCGTTCTATCATGGACAGAAAATAGCAAAACTCACTGCTACCGATCCGGATGCCCCACACAATGCGAATCTCTCCTATCATCTATTGGCCACTTATTTCATACCATTCAACGAGGAGTTTAATGTGATTGGAGAACACACCCAACTGGTTTCCTCCAAACCGGCCCCGAATGTGCCAACTCATTTCAAATTAGCTTCCGCCACCGGAGATTTGTTTATCGGTCCCGGGTTGGGTGGTGTCGGTTCGGCCAAGGGCGGTTTGGCTGAATTGTATTTTCGTGTTTGTGACAATGGAAATCCTCCCCTAGATTCTTCCGCACGACTGTTTATTCAACTCACAGCCTACAGTTCCAATTCAGCCGCACTGGATTCCACCAGTGGCGGTTTTCTCAGCTACCTCATTTCAACTGGACATTTGGGTATAGCTTTAATTGTGGTCTTATTTGTAATCATGTGTTTGACATCTATCTGTCTGGTGGTCGCGTTTACTACAATTCGTCGGAAATCCCCCGGTAACGCATGTGAATGTGCCTGCTGTCCTTCCAGTCGACGCAAAGCACTTCGACCCTGTATGGACAACGGATCGGTACAACATAATTCCCAGTTCACGGCTGAAGAGACAGGTATCACGTTCGACGGTCAACTGAGTGCTCTGGGGCGGGTCTATCGAAGCCCTAAGGCTCAGTCTGTGTTCTCAGATGGTGCCAGCTTGTACAAATGGATACCGGAGTGTAGCTATCCGATGGGAAATTTCGGACCGCCACCAATTTACAATTTGCCACTGCTTAGCAGCACGATTGATCGAATGCATTCTAGTCACACCGGGAGTGATAAAAGTGGAATGGCCTTGCTACCCTGTGAATTCCCCTGCTCTAGTAGTCATTCCTATGATGAACGGGGATCGAGCGAGGATCACGGACAAGACACAATAATGGGTCGATGTGAGACTCAAATTTTAGTCAGGCGTCCAATTTTAGAGGTGAACCGTGGAGCCCAGTCGATAGACGGTTGCAAACGAACGGATCATCTATTATCGAATAAGGTAAGTCATTTGGTATTCTCAGTTCTCGGCATATATTTATACTAACTGGAAATGAATGTTGCTGTACGCTTGAGAATGGATGGTGGAGATGGAGCTTGTAATGCAGCTAATAAATTTAAAGCGAGAACCAGATACTCAATTGCATTTGCCGGTGAACTGGGATATGCAAATGCGAAGCATCAAACGAGAATTCAGGTAAATTGAAATCGGATCAATACCTAGATGATTTTTTTGATGATGTCTTTTTTAAATCACTCCCCTGTGGAATAAAGAAAACATAAAATACTTAAAATCTGAATAGAAAATAGAATAGATAATAGTTGCTGGACAGTTCACCTGGATTTACGATCTCCAGTGAATAAGAGATCCTTTGCGAGTAATTTTAGCCTCACTTAGTTTTTAGACATTTTATCATGCGATGTACGTATAAGTTTTACAGGATGAAGAAACTAAAATACTTGCTTACAGATTGAGTTTGCGATTCCCTGCACAGCAATGATCTTGATCGAAAGCGTAATCCGCACCACAGAATTATCGCTATCAAACAGTTGAATGATACAAGCCCGTAGGAATTTTGAGGTCACATGTGCGCTACTACCTACATAATTTATTTGGAAGATTACGGTAAAAATACCATAAATTGGAAAGCATAAAACAAAATACTATTTGCTGTCATATGCCAGTAGTAGATATCGATCTTTTCAGAGGATAGCGCTTGAAATAGATGAAGACAAACGCGAGGGAGTAAGATGTGGACGAATATCCCTAAAGCGCAATTCGACGTGTCTCCAAGGTTCACAGGTCGATGAGATGGTGAGGTGGTGATCAGAATCCATCTTCAATCAGTGAAACATTAGAAGCATTTTGGTAACCCGATGATCACGAGCTCTGTGTTCATTATCAAACCATGCATGATAAATTCAGCTAGCTGTGGGTCTACAAAAACCGTCTTTCGAAAGTTACTCACCTCGGCCTTCAGTTTCACCACACGAAGAGGTTATGTGGCTTGCTCAATGAGTCCGGCCTATTCTTATGGCATCCGCGTGTCAGCACAGTCCAGTTATCTTAAATTTTACTGTGACTGAATTTAAACGAGTTGCTCAGTGGAAATATTTCCCCCATCTACAACTGTATAGCCGGTGTGATAAGGCATGATGTGTACTTCTCGAAGCATCTGAAAAGGGATTTGTTTTGCTGAGACTGACAACATCAGATTTTTACACAGTTTAAACGTACTCTGTCAATGAATCACATGAAGTGGAATGGAGAAAAGGGAGCGCATTTAATTCAAGTAAATCGGCATGTGAGTGATTCGTCCAGGATGGAATATAATTCAGTAGTTTTCATCACTACTTGAATCGATAATGTACAGTCATCTCACTGAAAAACATACTGATTAGTTGACTACTTCGAGCAAAAAATAGTTCAACATATCCAATGGCCTCGCCCATTCCGTTGTTCAATACACTAAGTTACATAACCCAAATGAAATTTGAGTCCACTGGTAGTGGTGCGACAATAGATTAAATCATAGATAATTTATTTGATCTATGGATTGGAATATATCGGCATGTTTTTTGATTCCAAGTAAATTTTCTTTTGAAAGAAAAACCATGAAATAAAATTAATAACTGGGCAATTTTTCACCTTAGAAGTGGGAAACCTTATTCGCAATTGACTGCGTTTAGATTCCTCTTGCCTGTTCTTACTCACAGCGTCAGCCTGTTTTATGTCTTAGTTTCCACTACGATCAGTCTGACAGGCACTATTTGCCTAACACAAACAGAACCAATCCACAGTATCCGAGCAAAAAATGCTCATATTCGTTGCTGGTTGTCAATATCAGACAAGTCATGATTTTAGTTTAACCGGTTATGAGATCTTCGTATTGTTCAAATATGACTAACGCGTGTAGAGAGCTCAAATTGAACTGTGTTCACTCTGGCTGCCTTCTGAGGTAGATATGATTAATGAGGCACAGCAATAGCGTTGTCCGTTGTGTTCACGCTGGCTCTCGTCGAATCAATGGCAATACAGTGCAAGTGAGTAACAACTAAGGTGGAAACTATCACATGTTATAAGCAAATTGGTCACCATATCTGATTAGCTAAAATGTATTCTTGTGACCTAGTTCTAGTCTCACTTTTGTGGATGCGAACAGAGCGGATTCACACTTTTTCCGACTTGTTCCTGTTGTAATGATTGGACAGGATATCCGGGACAAGTCTTGTCATTTAGACTTGAGGCTTGGTGGTTTGATGACCTGTCAATCTCGCACTGATGCTTAGTATCACGGTTTACACTGAGACGTGTTCCTAATACCAGTGACCAAGTAATACTGCTGCCGCTGTTGTTGTTGTGACTGCGAGTGTTGTTTCTCTCCCGGGCGACATTACTGTAGCACAGCGTTAGTCGCGGTTTGGAATTTGTCGGTGACTCACTCATTCGTTTACTGACAAGCATAAACGTTACCATACCCTTGCGCGCTCACTAACCCACACCACCCCAGTCCCCCTCGTTAGGCCTCTCATTAACGCTTGCACACGTGAACCCATTCATGCGTATAATCCAGTTGGATTGTGGATTTTTGAAAGTTGAAGACCAATCTTTCGAGTATACGCACACACGCCCTCTTAAGTGATGAATGGTTGGTGTTCAATCGAAATGTCTAAGAAATTGTGTTGGAGGTGTTTGCCCTGGTTGATAGCTGGGGTGTACGGCAGACAACCACTCAAAAACCCGGGTGAGGCAATTCGCATAACGGTTTGCTAGATGATGACGCTGATGCTGAACGAATGCACAAAACAAAACAGAACAGTTCATACGTGGCCATCCAAACAGAATGGTCTTTCCTGATTGCATAGGCGGGATTCCCCAAAACGGCCTGTTCATTCGCCTTTATCCTATGATTAGACCTTATGGCTTCATCCACGGTGAATGCACAGTGAAGAAAGCCGTTCGTTTTTATTGGGAACTCAAAGTTATTGGGTAAATGCATATTCTAGCAGGGAGATTGACAACCAGTCAAGCGCGCGCACACATCATGGAGAAGAAAAACAATTTTGAACATTGCAACAGCGAGTAATTGTGTCACGTGTATTTCACTCATCCCGCATTCCATTTCCCTTAGAGCGAGAGAGAGAGAGCAGTTTTACACTGCATCCCTTTCTCTGTTTTCATTCAGACCGTGGTCTGTCCAATAGAATAGCAACCTTCAGTATGTTTTGTGTACGCGTGAAGCAGTTCAAACACATATATACTAATTGAGCGTTGGATACTAGGAATGTTTCCAGACCAAGCAAGTCGAATTACTAATCTCGAGTTCGAACCTGAACCTGGAAGTAATATGGCATAAGAATACAATTTACTTGATTCCAATGCTGTATCAGATACTCCAAATTATCTCTAGTATCTTGTCCCGTACGTGGAAAAATGAATGTCCTAACTGTCAATCTTTCGACGAGCGCACATACACACACAGAATCTCAGGTATTTTTGTCTACCAGAGAACAGCTTTTTACAAACATATTGTGTCACAAAGTGTGACAGAAAGGGCGGTTAAACTCAAATGGATTTGATCTCTTCAATCAATTAGAATTTCAATAATTTTTGAATGCAAGCTTTTGCGATCATCGGTTTGTTTCCTGTCCTAATAGTATCAATGAAAAACGTAATTTTAGCTCCTTAACTCAATACTATATTCAACTTCAATCTGGGTTCACGGATTCTGAGAAATTCAAGAACAAAATGCCGGAAAAAGAAAGAATCTTGAGGGTGAACTAATTGAGACAGCTCTCGGCGTTCATTCTTTTTCTTGTTATACGAGTGACTTCAATTTCAACGTACCCACACACGATATTGGACATTCGGAAACCCCTTGGGAGTTGTACTAAATACACTGCAACTGATTTGGCGGAACACAAATCCGTTTCGGTTATCGCCCTGCAAGTAATGAGTGGCTTAAATGGATTATATCGATCTACTCTGTACTCCGTTTGCAGATTTCATTGCTATGCGGATGGTTTTTCATGCTGGATGTCCAATGGAATTTTATATCTCTCACGCAGTGTGGAGTGACTTTAATCTGTCGTGNTTAATTTCGCTCCGGATTTGTGTGTGGTTATCTCCATCTGGTCGCTCGAATTTATTGATCTCAGAGTGGTCTGTTGGGACTCCATTAGCCCCAGTATTGGGTCTACACCCCAAAATCAGCAGTAATAGTATATGCATTTGATAACATCAGTCACACTGACAGAGTGGATGCGGTTTCTCTGATTCGGCTTGCGTTCGATTATTATCAAATTTGCGCTCAAATCGAAGCTTCCTCGTTAGTAGGCTAATAAAATTTACCGGTACTTGATACATTGTTTTCCGGAGTTTCCCGTAATTTTAAAGCCATAGTTTTATTATATTAACTTACTGATGTTCATTTCAAGCCCCATTGACAATCGTGCCCTGAATGAAAGTGGTTCAAAGGTAGATAAAGGAGTAAGCTCGGTGCACTACGAAGGGCTTTTGGTTAGTTCAAACTCTTCAAATTCTTCAACTTCTAGTCGTGTCAGATGACCGATCCCTTCACAGTATAACTGTCGTTGATAATTCTGATAACAGCATCGGGGGAAAAATGAATAGTTCACTTTTAAAGAACTCTTTTTCATGGAACACAACTGATGCAGATTGAAATCCGTGGTTAAGCGGTGTTTGTTACCATCACATCGTTCTGTAGTTCGTGTACATTCGAATCCCACCTCACCCTTACATTTTCCGGTGATGCATGGTTTGAGAGTTCAATTTAGTGATGTCTCCTTCCCTCCTTTAAATGTTTTTAAACATTATTTATTTAATACAGAAAGTAAAAAACGAGTAAACCAGACTGGATGTAAACGAAACAATCGGTAATTTGATAAAGTCCCTTGGTTTCATGTGAAAAAGGAATCTTTTAAGGTGTGTGACTACATTTGAAGCTGACCAGAAAAAAATTACTTTATCTTTCGCGTTTTTAATAGGAAAAGGAAAGGAATGTAAAAGGTATTAAAACATGAAAT